CATTGCACACGAACAAGCATGAACATATTTCACGCATTATCATTAATTAGGAGTGTAATGGTACATGTATTGATCCCGAACCATTCGATTCGGTATGCAACTTTCCGTGGTTCAGTACTCCCTCTGGACAAAGTAATTACTGACACATTAGCCTACTACACTTTAATTATGTCTAGGTCTTAGCATGTGTCGCACATAAATTCTAAAATTAGCCTCTGGATGTATAACTCATATACAGAGTGCTGTCAGTATGGCTAATACAAATGAGTAACCTGAGCTGAACTGAGGTAATTTAGATCCATTGTTTGGGAGTGCTATGGTTTCCAGAAAAGTACAGCAAAACTGGACAAAGAGCAGTAGGACAGACAAAAACACAAATAATCAAATAAGCTAAACCATTTACAACAGCATGTGAGAGAGTATATTACAGTGATTGCCGCTGTAATATATGTCATGGCCTTTACAGATCCAAAATGTTGGACCTGATCTGAAACAGACCTATGGGAGACATATCTAAACCCGATCCAAAAGGAAATCCAAAGGAGAACCTGACCACAGTAAGACCCAATCCAATCAGACCCAAGGATAATTAGACCCAGTTCAAAATGCAGTCAATCCAAACAGACTCTATCAAAGGACACCAGCAGCAACAGCAGCATGATGCACTTTTAGATAACAAGCAGTCAAAAAGGGCAGCAATAATGTCCTATGAGCAAAAGTAGTCACAGTCATAGTCATAGAAACCATTTCCAAAAATAATTTGTTAATGCTTCAAATTGATGTAACAGGTCAATCCTAAACATCGGCATCTGGAAATATTTTGAAGGATTGGTACTGGCTAAAATAAAGCTCTTCAAATGCTGATCCCTGCCTTTACTGTACTCTACTGTGCTGGTCACCTCAGCATGCTACTGTTGCAATGCCTCTCTCCTTTACAGTGCGAGCACAAATAGAGTGTGTGAATGTTTTTTTGGCCCACCGGTGCCAGTGACTCTGAATTCTGAAATACACAGATTCACTAAGCTCCGACTCCAACTCTCTTTCTCAGTGGCAAAAAACAATGTGCAACACATTCACCAAGCAGCTTCTCATTTTTAGCAAACACATTTGTTGGTTAAAACGATAAACACTGACTGTCACTAATTATCATTAATTCCACAAGTGACGATGACAAAACAGAATAAAACTTTGTTTTATTTGTGTCTGGGTTGTGTCTGGGTTCGTGTTTCTGTAGTTCCAACAACCCCAACAGAGTGAGATGTCTTCTCTCATGTCATGTCAATTTCGGGAGTTGCATTCACCCAGTTAACGGACCAGTGTGTAGGATTCTAGTGGTGCAGATTGCAGACTGCAAATATTTGAATATAGCTCAACCTCTCAACCTATATTCAGTTTCTGCAATAGATCCTCCTAAATGCTACACACTGGACCTTCAAACTTTGACTGAAGTCAGATCAATATCTTAAGCGTATCAACTTAATAGTTTTGAAACAGGACCTTCAGTATTTGGATCAAGTAGCATGAAAAATAAGATGTTATTTCTGTGTATAGGTAAAATAAGTATCAGATCGAACCCGGCTCATTTATGAAACAACTGAATGTACCAAGACAGAGAAGAGGATAATCATCTAACCAAATTAGGATATTTAACAGCATCCTTATTTTCATCAGAAATGATTTCCTACAATACTTTCTCCTGCATTGATTATGATGGCAGTGGGTATCCATTCAGATCTACTCAGGTATCAGAGAGATTCAGAAATAAATCTAAGACACTACTCAACCCCATTAGCCTGAGTACAATTTGGACCAGGCTATTAATTAAAACAAATGACGCAACATTTATAGAGATAGGCTTCTTTTCTTTATTTCAGACAATGAACTGAGAAGATCTAGACCAGTCTCTTGTCTGTGCACAATGGAGCTAAAGCCATGGCACAATACACTTAGCTTAGCATAAATTCTGGGAACAGGAAAAGAAAATCCACCTATACCACTACCTCTAAAGCGCCTTAATTAACACGTTTCATACAGATTAAACAAACAATGTATTAATGGACATGTTATTTAATATGATGGAGCATTACTGACATAGCGGCATTCGTTTATTTTTCTTATTGACCATATGCCAACATTTGAGCGCCTTCAGTTTTCCAGTAATAGTTATGACAAATGAGCCACCAATCAATGTTCATAGCTTGTTTTCTCTGCTGTACAGAAGAAGTAGCAAAAAGTGAATCTTGTGTACCATGACACCAATAGTACTAATACACTGGTCCTACTAATTGTAGTCGTTGCTTTATTTTTTATGGGCGTTTAGAGTCCCATAATGAGGCTTTAACACCCTGCCAAGAAACTGTGTTTGGCACAAAAATGGTCACATTTGAGATATTTAATACTGGCACACAATATTGAACATTGGCAGCTTCAATCTAAAAATACTAGAAAGGAGCAATAGACTTCAAAAGTTCAAACTGGTCAAAACATACAAATGCACTCTCTCTTTTTCTCTCTCGTGTATGTGAAAAAACACAACTGCACTGTTCATCCACCATATCCTTGCTTTTTCATCTCTCTCTCTCTCTCTCTCTCTCTCTCTCTCTCTCTCTCTAACTCGCTTTTATATCATCTATCAGCGCACAGACTGAGCGACACTGTGAGGATGGTAACACACAATGAGAGAGAGGGAGAGAGCACTGCAGCGGGACGTGAGCCAGTACATTCTTGTACAAACACACCCACCATTTCCCACTACACACACACACGATAACACATAATACACATTAGCATGCATGATGTAAATATCAAACAGGCATAAAACAGCTGCAGTTGTTATACTGGTTTCATCAGAGAGGTTCATTGTCATAAAGGTCAGAATGATCTCTCAAAGGCATCTAGAAAAAAGCATATGTGGTATAGGCTTACAGAAAGCCATATGCACTTGCATACATGGATACATTTTAAGCATATAAAACTCTAAGTTTAAATACACCTCAGTCATTTATGTTACCCTAGATAGAAGCTGAATAGATAGAATGCTTTCAACACAATTCTATAAGAAAATATGAGAGCTACTTCTGATTTTCAGGATGTAAAAGGATGAACATGCCGCTACTTAAGAAGAACTAAGAGACCTTCACTTGAAAAAGAATCCAGTGTTTTCACATTAATTAATGCAAGCTAATAAAACATCAAACAGATTCAACAACTGTTATGAGTGTGCAATGTTTTCTTTATAAAACTCTTCCTCAACATCGGTCAAATGCTTTCCTGTTTTAGATGTATATTACTGACAGCAATGTGATAATCAGACAAAATTACAATAAGATATATTTAGCACGGGACTAGTGTTACTTGAGGACCAGTGAATTCTCAGTAACACTAAAGTATATAATTGGTCAAATGTGTAAAGTGTGCCTATATAGGTAAAGTATATAACTGGTCATTTATCTACTGACATTCAATTAGATAGTTGGGAACTTGCAATTAGTTAGTAAATTAATTGTCCTTTTAGGAATGTATTCTGCTGTGTAATTGTCAGAAAAAATAAAAAAAACCAACAACATACAGACAAATACAGGAAAAGTACTCTTTATATAACAATACCTCCAAGAACTGAACTCAAAATGCAACCTCACACAGTGAGACACAACTAATTAATAATAAGATGGACTGATGAGAGAGTAAAATTTATAAGAATTAACTTGACTCCAGTACAAGGTATGTGAGCAACGTAACTGTTACTGCGTACAGCATTAACATGATGATATTAGAATTGCTCCTGCCAGGTATTACCTGGTAAATACGTGATAATAGGGAAACAAATATTACAGATTTATCAAAGGAAGTAATACAGTGGATTTGCTCAAAAGCTCTTCTGATATTACCTCCACTCTGTGTGTGTTTCTAACACTGCAAACTAATTTGATCTGTTACCCTCAGGCTGTATGTATCCAAAACCTGTAAAAAACCACAATGTATCTACTACAAGTCACTTTAAAGCTGGCAATACATGGCGATTTATTCACCAGAACTTTATTTTTGTCACTTTAATCACATTCTGAATGCATTGGGAAATCGTCCCTTGCCTGTTAGTGTGTGAGTCTATTCATGTGTCACACCCAGCAATGATGTCACTGTGTACAGACACACCCTGGAGTATGCTTATACATCACTGTAGTGAGGTGAGAAGTCAAAGACCCTGAAAATCTATATTTTTGTGTTTCACGTGAAAAATATCTGTATATGTTTCGCCCTGTGCTTGTCTCACTAGTTTCAAACGGGACTCAGTCGGACAACCATAACGTCAAGTACTTCAATGCATATTTGAATCAGCTGAGGTTAATGTCAACTCACTCACTCATCTCTTCTACAGCTGTAAGTTTACAGGCAAATTTTGGTTAGACTTCAGTTGATATTTTCCACACCAGCCCAATTTAAAGTTTTTTGTTAAAAATGTCATAATAACACTTATGTTTACTAATTACCTTGATGCTTTCTCTCTTTAAATTTACAGGAAAACAGTGTATACACAATTAAATGTTACAGTTACATTCTTAAAAACAGTCTTTTAAAAAAAAAAGGCTTTACATTTGTCCTTATCCTTCTCTTTATATTTCATATTTCCTTTAATATGATTGTACCTATGTACAAAATGAACACTGTTTACACAGTTAGTTGTGATAAAAAAAAGTTTTTTTGATTAATTAAGTTTTTGAGGAAAAAAGCTTTATAAATTGCTGTGGTTGCTAAATTGTTCATTGCCAAACTTCCCCTGGCCTCCAACTAGTCATGAATCATTGGTTAGACATAAATCCTTTGGATTTGAAGTTTTCAGAGGGCTTTTTTCAGCATAACAAGATTTTTGGCCTGTGTTAAGTTGCTCTTTAAAAACCTAATACCATAAAAAATATCACTGAAAAAACTCAAAACTTACTGTGAGTGCTACTGTGGCCCGGTCCTGTCACAGGTACCCGTTTGTCTCTGTAATGACTGTGCTGCCTCTGCACCCAGTGAACCTGGAAATCACAACACAAGGTAATGCATTACTTTGAGGACAATATAAAATAATGTTGACTTTGTTCAATCACAAAATGTGACACTTTTAGCTTGTTGTATAAACTAAAGAAAAAATCTAAACTACAAAATCTATATAACATTCATTTCACTTTGGTAAGTTTTGTGTCCACACCTTGGCTTCCCCAATAGACTCTCGTGTACTATAGCTCTAATAATCTTCAGCCAATTCTGAAGTCTTATTTCCGCTTTGTTACGGCCTTTTGTCTAGGATTGTGGATTCATGAGGATAAGAGCAAAACAGTGAGAAGGACAGAGCAAATGAAATATTTTGTTCTCTTCTGCTTCATTCTACTTTGAAAGAGAGGGAAAATCCAAAACACAGGGAGAGTTGGGTATCTTTATGGAGGAGAGTAAAAGGTTTCCTCTTCATTAGTTCAAAGAGTACTCGCTCGCTCTCTCCTTTGCAGTCCCATTGTCCTGGGTTAAAAGCAACGAAAACACCCCCGCCTCACCTACACCTCTGTCCTCCACATGCACACGCACACGCACACACTCACAATGTCTTTCATAGGCCGCTGCTTGCAGCTTTGATCTGATAAGAGGCTGGTCCTTGTGAAGGTGGGCGCACTAAATCAAACAACAGATCACAGACACACAGGCACACACACACACACACACACACAAACACACATATCAGTGTCAGGCCACTATTGTCCTCTTACACTTAAATCAGAGTGGAAGAGGTTGAAAATAAATACTATTGAGAGGCGGCTGCGGTCTTTTATGTCCTAAAAGCCTGCTTGCTTTATTCCCCCTTCATGTTCTTCAATTAGACTCAATTAACAAGAGCTGGTCTAAACTACCCAAGGAAGACGGATGTAGGGTGAGGGGGGGCCTGTTAGAGCTAAGAACGCTACATGTGTGATATTAAATACAGGAGACCTCAGACAGGAAGTGGAAGTGATACATGTGCAGTTCTGCCAATGTAATCAAATTGGTGTTTATATTAGGCTAATCAGATTGATTTACCTTGACTTAAAGTTAAATAAAAAGCATAATCAATGTAATTTGTTTACACATGCTTTTGCCTATGTCTTATTAATAAGATGATCATTTTCATTATTTTTTATTTTTTATTATTTATTATCCTCCTAAATGTTACACACTGCTAGCAAGACCCAACCAGTGCAGCCCAGTGAGACCTTATTATTGGCATAGAATGTCGTTTTTAGTTTTAATAACCTTTCATTTGCTATTAATTTACACAAAATGTAACAAAAAAAAAAAAAAGAGCCCTCTACTTACTTAAATATATCATCATAATATGTGCAATAACTTCATGTCAATTTACATTATAAATAATATGTGTTTTCACCAGACAACCATTGGAAGGCCTTTATCATGTACCAGCTACAGGACGTGAAGCCTCAGTAAGTGAAGCTAGTGACCTTCATAACCCGTTGCTCAATTGGTATCAGTCAAGATATGGATATTTTCTGGTGCTGTTTAATCATCAGGTCAGATTTAACCAGGAACGGTTGGTGAAGAATGCAGCCACTGTGAGCTCCCTGCAGTTTTGGCGAGCTCAAAGCTCATTTATCATTAATGTAAATGATTCCATTGCTGCCCATTTACAAACTATTTACACACTGCATAGATCTCTATGCAGATACCCCAGCTACTTCTTATTTCTAAATGCCACACATACACATACACGAACACACAAACAGGAAACAATTACACATAATTTATGAATCAACACATGATACTATAATACACACAAATGGCAAAATCACCTTCTATATGCTTCTAATGTATGTATAACAAACAAAGACATGCACATACACATAGATAACAAGGATGTGTGTGTGTGTGTGTGTGTGTGTGTGTGTGTGTGTGTGTGTGTGTGTGTGTGTGTGTGTGTGTGTGTGTGTGTGTGTGTGAGTAAGAGAGAGTGCCCCAACTACCTTGTAAAACCCCTCCAGCCTCTCCTCTGGAGAAGCAGCCAGGACACGGTGATCAATACACATGATAGGGAGCTAATCGCTCTCTGTCAAACCAGGCTCTGCCAGCTACTAATGGCACACTCTCACTAGGGAATGTCTGTGTGTGTGTGTGTGTGTGTGTGTGTGTGTGTGTGTGTGTGTGTGTGTGTGTGTGTGTGTGTGTGTAGGCGTGGGCCTTAATGGCAGATTGAGACTCTTTAGGGAGTGTTGCTCAAGGTTAGACTCAGGGGACAAGGAGCAATTGACCACACTGTCTGTGACACTGACCCCTCCACTGTCAGCGCATTCATCATCCAGCTGTGACATATGGGCAGTACACACACACACACACACACACACACACACACACACACACACACACACACACACACACACACAACACACAAAAAACAAGATGAAATGTGCAGATAAAAATCACACTGTACAAACTATATAAAAAAAGTGACATGTCACATGTAAATGCACAGACATCATCAAACAACAAAGAACATTTTACAAAATCGACAAATAGCTGTCCAACACATGTTGCAATACAAAGTCAGCCAGTGCAACTTCAGAATAAGTGCACATTTCTCCCTTCAAAATAAAAGCCTAGTTAAATAGAGGTTTGAGATCAGTGAAAGAAGACAAAGGCAGGACTATGAAAAATAAACCTTATTTGAAAAAATTGCTTTCCAGCTGTGAGGAAGAAAAGAGCAGTGGAGCACTTACATGATTGAACGGCTGAGGTAGAACTGACAGAGGCACAATGTGAATGTGTGGAGGAGGAGGAGAAAGACAGTAAGATGTAGGGAGTAAAAGTAAGTGTGTGAATGTGTGCTCATATGAAGAATATACTGTATGTGTGTGCACAAATACAGCTCTTTAGAGTAAAAGTGAATGATTGAGGAAGGTGGTGAGGAAACACAGAAAGAAAGTGTGTGTGTGTGTGTGTGTGTGTGTGTGCGCACAATACTCCCATGTCTCTATATGAATGAGTGGATGCGGTGGATGGCAGGCAGCTGCAGCAGTGTGATACGAGCCGAGCTGCACAGATATCAGCGCTGACATTTTGGGCTTCGCTACCCACCCACGGCCCCCTGGGAAAGTGATGGCGATGGCAGCGGCAGTGGCCACATGCCACCCCCACACCACCCCCTCCCTTTGTCTGTCAATCACAACGCTGTGCTTCCTGAGGCTCTGTCTGCCCCGGCCTGGCCATGGCTCTGGCTGGACCCATTATTATATGCAGCAGTAAACGCACCGCATGATCCACCTCACCCGTACCCCAGCACCCAGACCCTGATGTACTGGTGATCCTTATCTGGACCCCCCCCCCGTCATCACACACACCTACTCTCTGCCTCTCCATTCAGTCTCTCATGTATAGTTGCCAGGCTCACCACAGAGAGAGAAAGGACAGAGGAGAGGAGCTGTGTGTGTGTTACCTCCGACCAGAAGATGAACAGTGAAACCAACGCAAAAAAAAAAGAAATGTGTGAACTCTACAGTAGCGAGCAGCAAGGGGAGGGAGGCAGAAATTGCATAAATTGAAAGAGAGGAGAAAGATAAGAGGGAGATACACTCTGGCCCCTCCTCTAGCCTTCTTTTAAGGCACCTCTTGGCCTCCTCTCCCTCCTCCGTCTCACCCTCCCTCCTTCCCCCTCCCTACCCACCCCTGGGCCCTCTGGTGTGTTGCTCACTCCATTGTGTCAGCCTTCAGAAGTGCTCAGTTTGAGTGGCAGGCCGTCACAGATCAGTTCCCTGCTAAAGCGGCCCGGCAGGCCGGGGTGACGGGCCAGGAAGGGATCTAAGTGGGGTTTATCAGCGCTTCTTAACGCCTCTCCGGCTCCCTGACACAAAAGAGAGGGGGTATTAAACATCTAAAGCAAACCAAAAAGCGTGAAAGCTCCTTATAGGGCCGCGGGATTGCGGATGTGACTGGAGTCTTTAAAAAAATATATCACAAAAAAAAGAAAGAAAAATAAGGAGAGAAAAAAAACGCACACAAACGCTTCAGCAATGAGGAAGCAAAAGAAAATGTTGTGGATAGAAGAGTGGGTGGGAGAGAGAGAAAGAGCGAGACAGAGAGAGTATCTGTAGATGGAACTAAAAATGCGAAAAACAAACAAGTGAAAACTAGCTTAATAATGTTTCCTAGCTTACCACCTGTTCTGTTTGTTAGGCTGAATCTAACAGCCTTATATATGAAACTCAAGACTGCTGCAAAGAGTGGACATTCAATGTACCAACGTACTGTATAACCAATACCTAGGCTAGTCAATGACAATATATAGACTATAAAACCGTCAATGAATAGTTTTTGTCTCAGAGATTGAATTTTGAAATTCAAATTTTCTCAAATGTGCTTTAACACCTACCACCACAACAGTGAACAAGGAACAGGTGTTCAAATACCAAGGTTTGACATACAACGTGGAAATTAGCAGCATGAACTGATGATGCTGGTTTGCCAGCTAATTGGACGCTGCAATTAGCTAACAGTTTTACACCATTAACAAACATTAGCGCTTACTTGTCCTTGTAGAAAAGGCACGGGTGTTACAAATAACTGTAATGATGGCTCTGTTCTGAACCCTGGAATTAACTCACCTAAAGGGAATGCATCATATATAATGTCAGTTATTACAACTGTGCTTTTCCTGCTATAACATTCGAAAATGTCTGCTGTGAGAAATTCAGACATGTCACAATTGGAAAAGCACAGGTGTAAATAATACGATTAATGATTGCTGAATTCCATTTAGCTGCATCAGTTTCAGGCTCCCGGTGTGCATGCTGATTTACTGACTTACATGGGAGACTGGGCCATCGTTGATGTTATTAGTAATGCTTGTGATTTCCTACAATAACAGGTCAAAAAGGCCTACTTCTGTGTAACAATTTGGAACTTTGCAGTTAGATTTTACAAAAAAAATAAAACCTAAATTGTCCACATCAAGAGCTGGTATGGCTACTACCAGCCTCTGCATTGTACGACGCAGCATGTTTGATACAGACTCCAGTTGTACGTCTATAATTCAACCCTGTTCTCCTCAAGATAACACATTCTTAAAGGACCTCTTTAAACTTGTAACTTGGCTTACCCTGTATGGAGTATGTACATGCAAGTTTTCACTACACACACAGAAGGTGAGTAACTAAGGCTGCGTTCAATCACTATTCCATGAGTGTAAACACTCAAAGCTTGCTCTGTGGTGAGCAGTAAAATGGGATGTCAGACACTTATGAATCAACATCATATTGCCTCATAACTGTACTGTCACCTGACTGCAAGTTCTATAAAATGCGATGCATTGCGTTATTGTTGGCAGGAAGTAGTGAATATGCCACAGACATGACTTTTTTGTTCAATTGTGTCACTTTAGTATGTCTAATGTCTAATAAATATAATACTTTGCTCTGATATTCACTTCACAACAGTCATGCTGCATATGTCTTTGACTTCTCTCGCTCCTTAGAGCTTTGTTGCAGCTACAGGCAGTAACAATAAAGCTAAGAAAAAAAGTCAGAGGACCGAACATACTCTGCACAGTGGTTTTCTGTAAGTGTGTGTTAAGTGTGTAGCACACCAGCAGGGACCAGTGTGTGTATGTCAGAAGCTGGCAGGGGGTTAGTATCTGAGACATTTTGTAAAAGGTCAGTGTAGAGTTCAGTCAGAGACATGTCTGTGTGTTTGAGGATGAAACTGCAAGCGGTACGATGGTTAGGACAGTTAGGAGGAGGGTCAGTGAGGGGAGGTGGAACCTGCAGGAAACAAGGTACAGACAGAGACAAGAGAGAAACACTTGGATGTTGTTATGTCCTGTCATACAGCAGCCATATGTGTTTATGCATTAACTGTCTGGTGGTTGCCTGTGAGGATCCTGTATGTCGTTCTTTGAGTCAGAATGCACGTGAGTGGCCTGTTAGCTGTGTAAATGTGCATGTGTGCGTATTGTGGCCTGATCTGCGTGTCGTCTCCGAGCTCTCACATGTTTGTGTGGAGCGGTTTTTCCACAGCCTTGCTAATTATGTCATTAGCAGTCCGATTAATACAACAGCTGATTGCTGCTTTGCTGGCAGTGGGTTGTTATAGTACAGCTCTGAAGATGTGAGCCCCAGAGCCCAATTCCTATAGACTGCTTTAACTCAGCCAGTGTTTGATATGAGCTGCAGCAGCTGTTGCAGACTGCACTGATTTATGAAGTGTTATTCCTCTGTAATGGAGCTATTCCTCAGTTCAACTAAAATGTTTCATTTTTAAAAGTAGTTTCTTTCTGAAGAATTGAACAATGGTTTCCATCAACTGTGATGTTTATTTTATTTTTATTTTTTTTAATCCATTTTTATTTGTTGGCCATGATTCACTTTATTTACACACTGACAAATAGGGGAGTCATTTGTAAAATACTGGGTTTCACTTTCACTTCTTATAAATCATATTGTTACAGGATATTTCTCAGCACAGTATAGTATAGTATACTATATGACTTTAAATTATTTAAAGAACCAGTGAGTATCATTTAGGAGGATCTGTTGGCAGAAATCATGTTTTTACATCTACAGTAGTCCAGAATGGACAAACCAAACACTGACTCTAAGTAGGGCCTTTATTCCTCTTGAGTTTTATAGTTTCAACTGCATGCGTGGAAGGCTGAGCTGTAGTCACTTGGTTGTAATCTGCAACTTCACCACTAGATGGCACTACACACTTGTACGCAATTTCAGAGCATCTGTGTATGTATGAGCTAAACAGTTCATTGTTATCCTTGGTAACAGCAGTAGAAGAATCTGCACTCGAGGTCAACGTACTCCCTTGTTTTGGAGCTTTCAACCACAGTTTTAATACTTTGTGTACATGCTGGCTTATAACTTAAATTGAGTGGAAACTTCAGGTACGGTAAGTACGTGGGACACTCCAGACATCTCCCAAAAAAGACCCACATTGACCTTTTTCAGCCAGTTTTCTTTAGCAAGCAGATGTAGTTACAAAGCTATACATAGTACATGTCATTTTGGACAGTATAAATACAATACTTCTCTTCTATTTTTCTATGATGCAACCTGGAAGTGTCTCCTGATGTTCCAAAGAAAATGTAAACACTTTCATTTTAAATTCAAAACTTCACGTAGAACTGTGGCAACAAACACTCAGTTTAGTTCCACTTAATCTAATGCATGAAAACACCATCTTATAATGCTTTTGCTACACAAAGATGCACCAGTAACTCTGTCTTTCAACAAATGGAGAGTAGCACACTTAACACCTTATGTTAGATCCCAGGAATAGTATTGTACCATGTCACTCTGACTAGTAACACTGTTTTAACCTCTAGACAAAGTAACATTAACTCTGTCTCAACCTTGCAGCTTACTGAACCTCGCATGGTGCAGTCATTAGTGAAGTCCGTAATGTAACCCACCTGCAAAGTGCAGAGTGAAAAGTAGCACACTGGTTTGTATAGACAGAGGCCTGGTCAGAGGTGGGCGGATGGAGTATAGTTTAAGCTTTGGCAGCAGGCCAGCTGCTGTAGCCAACACACAGTAATTGTGTTTGGCAACACATAACCCACCATAAATACGTCGTCCATATACCTATTACAATATTGACCATATTCAGCATAATAAAATTGCTATTAAAGCTAAATCTATTAGTCTGATTGGTTAAATTATAAGGCCTCATCTTCCCAAATAAAAAGGTTTTCCTATTGAGTTCAAGTTAGTGATATTAGAGAAATTGTTCTTGCCTCTGTGCTAAAAAGGATCAGTTCACATAAAACAACACAGCCAACAAACAGACTTCAGTGCAACAGCGCCTGCTAAAGAGGTGCAATGTCTAAAAATGCAATCGTTCATTATCCCAAAACATTATTCGTGCAATCCATTAAATTTAAGGCTCATTACAAAATGTGGGACATTTTAAGGGTGCAAATTCATTTTCACCTAAAGTTACGATGGTAGAAAAGTAATTAAAGTTACAGTGTAATGAAATCATGGACCATACATGGAGTCACTGGAGATTGCACATAAATTACTTCAATTAATCACACGCACACTGATTCAGATGATAACTCTGAATCAGAAAGCTTGGAATCCTCTTCTATCTGTTTTACTTTCTGTCCATTTCTTTCCCTTGCTTGTGTGTCTTTCTGTGTGTGTAAATGCACTGTTGCTTTGTGCAGTTTTTTTGTGTGTGCCACTGAAGGGGCAGCGTGCTGGGGAAGGGCCAGAGGTCTGGTGCACCCTGGAGAACGGACAGGGCCAAAGCCACGTCTCCGACCCTTCCTCCCGTCCCTCCTCCCTCACCCTGTGCTGTCACAGGATGTCTCTGTGGGTGACGGTTTCCCTGGCAACGAAAGCCCGGCGAGGAGGCTGCATTGTGCGCTGCGGAGGGTGATGCGGAGCGGCTTGTCGAAGGTGGCGAGGGCGGGGGGTGGGGGCACACAGTGATATCGGGTGGAACTGGCACACGAGCTACACAAGTGAGATAAACAACTTTCAACCATTACTCACCACATGGCTCTGTTTCTTTTCTTTTTTTCATCCTTCTCGCTAATCAACACTAGACCCTGATTAAAACAGCAACGCCAGCCAAATGAACTTCCATTTGCATATACATGCTGTGTAAAATCAGAACCGACGCCAGAGTGTGAATTCACCTTGACGTGGCCGTGTTAAATGTATCAAACAGTCACGTCTAAGTAGCTGAACGTTCTGATTTGCTGTAGTTACAAATCCATTTCCCGCTGTGTTACACAGACAGTGCGAGTCAGGCCAAAAAAAAAGCAAAAAAACAAAAACCTCAGAGCAGCTTCTTTTGGGAACCTGTAGCTTGATCCATTTTCCAGATCCTAATGTGTGATGTGTATTTATTCGACAGTGTTTTTTTTAATGGAACAGTTAAAAATACTTACCCCTGCTGCGGTCCTAAGTCTGCTCTCAAAGGTGGCTCTGTCAGGGCGCCACCTGCTGTCTCTCAGGGTGTATACACCCTCCAGGCTGCCAACCTGTCAGCATAGAAACATATTGTGGTCAGGATGTGAAAAGCCTCACTTTCAGGACACAAAGGGTAAAGAGTTGCTCTAAGTCGTGCTTGGTTGAGTGCCTTTTATTTAAGATTTTTTTTGTTTTCACCCTGTCAGAGAGACCAATACAGATACAGTGTGAGGGTCAAATCACATAACGTATTCGGCCTAAATCCCCAATATTACCAACATGATATCAGTGTATCCCCTCCGGCCATCTGTCTTGTGTGGGGGTTTTTCTACAAGAGGTTGGCCGAAATCAAATAGCACACAGTTTATCTAACCTTATCCTGGGCTTTTCATTTCCAAGCCTTATAAACTCACATCGTATTGACCGCCTGGGAGAGTTAGAACTAACTAAGTGAAATCTACTCGCTGGCAATTGTGTGCAAGGCGCACGTTGTATGGGGGTGTGTGGTGTGTGCGTGTGTGCGTGGCTTGCTGATTCTATCTTCCTTCACATTCATTCTCTCCATTCTCTGTCCCTGAGGTGCATCAGGGCTGAGACTGCCGAGTAAATTGTCCCAAATTGAGTTCCTTCTTGCCGGCAGATACAGGCCACATCCCGACCGTTTAGAGCGAGAGAGAGAGAGAGAGAGAGAGAGAGAGAGAGAGAGAGAGAGAGAGAGAGAGAGAGAGAAAGAGAGAGGGAGAGAGAAAACAATCACAGCACATCACTTGCTTGAAAACCTTCTCTCTAATTTTTCTCTTTGCCTTTTTCTACCCACCCTCAGTGTCCTTCTCCTCTGCTGATTTCCCTGCTGCCTCTCTTTCTTCTCCCGGCACATTATTCTTCTGCTTCTCCCTCTTTATATCACTCCCTGTGTGTCTTTCCTTGTCTTTGTCTGCTGAGATAGGTATACATCAGACTTTCCTTGCTCAGCTTGGCTTTTTCTTTCCTTTGATGATTCTCTGCCCTCCTGCTCGTCTTTCTCTATCCTTTCTCCCCCAATCCCTGCTACTTTTTTCCATCTCCCCAACCAACAGTATTTCTCTTCCCTCTCCGCGTCCTTTCCTCACCCTGGTTTCTATCCCTCCTTTGCACTCTCATCCCACCCTCCATGGCTGGCTGTACCCGGTGACATAGTACCCATCAGCGCAGACCTCCTGGGTGGAGGAGTCTCGCTCTGACAATAATCACACAGTAAGTTTATAACGCTGGCAGCCCAGCTGAGCTGAGCTGAACTGAGCACACGCGACTCCCCTGACGCCGGCACACTCCATTTAACTCAGCAGGGGGCTGCAGGCTGGCTGGGGCAAGGATGAAGCATGAGGATGGGGATGCCAGTGGGTTTTTAGGATGGGGGGGTACTGGGGGGAGGGTGATGGAGCAGTGACTGGAGACAGATATGGAAATGGGATGAGGAAGGATGGCTGGAGCTGAAACTGGTGCTGCAGGGGATGAAGAGGGGGTGAGGTTTTGGACTTTTGGGTTCGGGCAGTTTTTTTTTAAGAAGATGCGCATGTCACCGTCTCTGCATGGAGTGATAACCCCTCTCTACTTTCACTGCTTGCTCTCTGAAAAATCCCCTCTATCTCTTTCCACAGCTTTTAGGGTGTTTACTTTTTGTACTGGCAGCAGGGACACAGAAACTTCTTTTCGACTTGAGAACTTAGGTTTTTAAGTCTTTGTAGAACCAAGATCCCCCTTTCTCAAGCCCCTACAAGCTCCATAAGTGCTGTAACTAACCCTGACCTATGATCTCGCTAAAAAAAATGAGAGATAAAAACAAACCCCCCTTTGGAATCAATGAAGGTACACTTTGATATTTATTTTTCTATTATTTCCCACTGTGCTCACAGAAGTATTAGGAACAATGAGGACCCTATTATAGCACTTTTGTTTGGTTGCTCGGATTAGGTTTTACCGTTCACTGGTCTGCTGATACAGAGTACCAATCAGATAACAGCACTTTCTTTTTCCCATATTTAAAAAGCTTACTACACGGAACTTATTGGAATTATTTTTATTAAAGGTAATATGAGGCCAGGGATGGCTTTGGATAACAGAGTGTTGGTGCTGCACTCTGTGGAGCTCTCCATGGTGCTGATCCTGTGGCTGAGAGCCGACAGAGAGTTGCAGTATGCTGGGTGCTCTCTCTCCTGTCCTACCCATTCATTTATCATGTCTAACCATTGACTTCACCTGTTGCCTAATGTTTGCTGTTTTCAGCACCGTAGATTGACAGATGTCTAGTTACAGTAGTAATATGTAGAGTTCCAAACCCCACGAGTCAGGTTCAGGTAAGGTTATATTCAAATAAGGAGTCAATCTGTGCCCATGCTGTGGTTTGCCTGTCAAGCTAATAATAATGGATAAATTACAGCAAAAACATAGCTGGGGGTCTCAGGATGTGTTTCATGTCTCAAATTTGGCTTCAGGTATCAGTTTGAGGCCAATTTACAATTCGACTTAAATGCTGGCTGCAGAGTTTTTGTTTATGCAAGATAATAACACTCTTTAAATAATATTACACATTACACTAACACACAGGATCAGCTTGGGATTTAGTGTCTTGCTCAAGGACACTTGTGACATGTGGACAGGATGAGCCACCAACCCTACAATTAGTGGGCGACCCTGCTGAGACACAGCCTCATATCATCTCCCGCCTTCACTGCACTTTAGTCTAATGATCAACTATTTCTATAGGGACTATTTGTTTTTGTAGTAAGTCGTCCCAGCAAGGTACATGGACTATCTAGAGTAACTGTCTTGTTTTTAGTGTGCATGAAAGACACACTGCTGTTGAATCCTTTATTTGCAATTCAATTTACTCCCACTGTATTTTGGATGGCAGCAGAACTCTAGAGGCAGATGTCCAAAAACCTGAGCAAATAAAACTAAAACTATTTGCTTAGATACCACTAGAGATAAGTGAGACAATCTGTCTGTTTTGCAATTTGAGTGAAACAGCCCTTTAACATTGTCAAAGCAGTCAGTGGCCCATAAAAACAGATAAACACTTCCTGCTAAATGTGTCACTTTGAGAACTTGACATTATTGACACTGGATGTGCACAACATACACACATGTACACACAGTCAAACTACAGCTGTACATGGAAATTAGTGAGCAATTTCAATCCAACCAAAACAAACACACACACACACACACACACACATACACATACACACAGACACACAGACACACATCCATGTGCCTTGCCAGAGCAGGTTCACAGCAAAACAATATGAGGCCAATCAGGGGACCATTGGTATGGCTCTCCCTCTGCTAATGAAGGCACTTTGAAAAGGTAATCTAATTCACCAGCAGCAATTAAGGCTGGGAGCGCCTTGTCACTATCAATTATCCGCTCCTTCACTCATGTTCTCCAGTGCGGACGCTGAGCCTGCCTGACACACAGCACTGTCGGACAAATCAACCCCATCAGCCAGCCAGTCACTGAGAACACTAATCATGAGAGTGTTCAAACACACACACACACACACACACACACACACACACACACACACACACACACACACACACACACACACACACACACACACACACACACACACACACACACACACACACACACACACAGAGAGAGATACTGTATGCTTGAATCATCGCACAATGAACTAAGTAAGCTTGACATGAATTGGGATGTCCTAGCTGGCTGCAGTCAGAGGTGGATCTTTACTCAGTGGATCCATAAGCAGTATCAACAGCCCTGGCTCCTACAGGCTGTTACTGTAGGTGGCAGGACTGATATTAACATCCATCAAATATTGGTTGTTGATCTAAAACCCATGCTTCTGTGCTGTGGTTTTTTGGTTGTTTTGTGGGTGTTTATTAGTCGATCAACAGAAATTATAATCGAAAAGAAGTTTCGTAATTATTAATAATCATTTTTAGACTATTGAGTTTTCTTTTTGACTATTTTCTCCAAAATCTTTTAGTAAAAATGTAACTATTATTGCTATAGACAATAATACTGATTTCTAGAACACGTAAACCTTGTCTGAGAATATCAAGGCTCTGTACAAGTCAGTCACATTTACATTTATCATGCTGCTATAGTGGCAATGGCAGTCACATTTAGTAGGATCACCTGGAGTTGATGTGTGCATGTGTCACCTAGATTTGATTACGCAAATGCATGATGCATTCACATATAATAGCAGATTGTGTCAAATAAGACAGGCCTTTCAGAATGTGGTGACCGGCTAGAGGAAACTGTGGGAAATGGGTGATAGATATGTGATGAGTTATGGAGTTACAAGCAAAAATTTTAAAAAGTGCTCCATAAAAGAGCCACTAGGTGGTTTCCGCAACCAAGACTAATCCGTTTGACTTCGTCCTGTTGACCTACCCAAAATTCATTTAAAAATCTATTGAACAGTGTTTCAGACTGAAAAGTTACTTGTTTATTATTGGCTAAAATGCAATTATCCAAGTTCAGAGAAACATGAACTACTTGAAATTCTTACTGAAGTCTTTTCTAAAGCATGAAGTAGATATCGAGTCTGCGACACTGACGCAATACACATGCAGACACAGCACCCAGACCTGTCGCCCTCTCCTCGGACTCCACAATTCAACTAGACCTTGAGACTCCAGACAGGTGTACAGTGACAGACAGGACTATTGAAAATGCTCTTGTCAACGTCTCGATTGCTTAACTGAATCTCTCCAACTAATGACCTTCATGCTGATGAAGAGGAGATTAGCATGACAGTGCTGCTGCTGTGAGAAGAGTGCTGCAAAGCCTTCAAAGGAAAATGTCTGGACTTGACTACTGTATGTTGCAGCAGGAAATAAAAAATCCTGGGTACTGACAGATGTAAGTGATACATGCATATCAATTTAATGTCATCGGGTATATGTAAATTTGAAGACAGTCAAGTGTCATTTTACAGGTAGCCAAACACCATCATTAGCAACTCTTATATTCAGATATTAGACGTCGACAGTAGACTACGTTTAAAAACAAATGGGTTTCATTTGTTCATAACATGAGTGGAACAAACAC